CACTTGTGTTGAGCATTCCCAACACACAGAGAACAGGACATGCAAATTCAATGGCAGAGTCTAACAAACTGCTTCTCCACATCTACCAAGCAGACACAGCCTGCAAAGTCTCCAGGACACCTGGGGACACTCCTGAAAAGGTTCATTTCTGTTGCAAAGTGAGAGATTTGGTACTGAGAAAGATCTGATCTAGTATTGAGTGCAAATGTTGCAAAGTCATCTGGATTTCTGCAGTGGCTCAGTGATTTCTGTCTTTACACACTAACCACGGAGAGGAGTTGTAGGGAACAGACATCATCACAAACAACTGCTGGCAGCAGAATGTCCGACAGTCACCTCTGGCTCAGCAGTAGTGATTAGGAATGCAATGCTCACTGCTGTTTTTTCCTCGTCTGGGAGCAGGTGTGCAGATGAATAGAACAATGCAGGCACGAGGCTTCCCCACTGCCCTGCCAGTGGCCAAAGAAACCCAGCAAGGAGTTGCCTTACACACTGGTTACTCACAGCTCCCATTGTCTACTCTCTGCCCTGTTAACTCTTTGCTACCTCTTTTCTCAGCATGTTCTCTGGAACAAGTTCCCCATTTAAAGCTTTCATTGACTCATTCCGAAGCTTATCTCAATTTGGGAATTTTGGAGAACAACTCACAACTAACTGTTCCTCAGTTTATTCACTGCTGACTGTATTGTCTGTGAAAACTCACCACCCTCTCTGAGTTCACTGCCACTTTGCCTCCTCACTCCCAAGCGCTCACAGGGAGATTCTAAAGTGAAGCTTCAAGGTCTGATCAGGTTTGAATGTCTATTTAATTACAGGCCAAGATAAAAGAGGTAAAAAACCTTCCCTACAGCTATTAACAAATGCAGCCTCAGGCTCCAGGAATGCAGTGTGTGAGGAGTAACCCCCTGGAGCAGCACAATTGATAAAGAGAGGAAGCTGATGAGGAAAGGAAGTGACTGGCAGACCAAGAGAAATTCTGAACAGAATCTGGTGTTGGGTTTAACCAGGTTATTTCTGGGAAAGCACAAAAAAAAAGAAGTCAAGGTTTCCCTGTTATTGTCTGTGACCCTTCCACTTCCATTTTTGTGATAACTGCTGAATAAAAACCTGCTCGTGGTCTGCTTTGACTTCTTTTTTTTATTGTACCAAATACCCCTGAAAGCTGTTGATTACCAGGCAGCAGCCAGGGAAGCCTTTCCAAGCAGGAACTTATCAGATAGTAGCTGTTCATTTAATCATGGGAGAGATCCGTTTTTAATTTGGCCATTTTCACCCTGCTAATTAAGTGAGCTTTTATTTATTAGTGAAACCTAATCATTCCATGTGAGTGAAGTCAGAGTGTCGTGTCAGAACACAGCGCTGGGTTCTCCCCATGGCTGGGTGTGGTACAGACTTTGTTCTGCTGCAAACACAAACCCCACATGGAGATGTGGAAAAGCAAATCCAGCTGAAGGCACCCAGGGCTTTCAGCATCGCTGGAACGATGGGATTAACGTGTCTGACTGTCACTATCAGAGAAGTTCATCAGTTTAACTCCTTGCTCTCGAGCAGGAAGTTGCTCGCTGGAACTCCTGACGCAACCCAAGCGAAGCAGTTGCAGCTCAGTTTAATCCGAACCCTCTCGAGTCCACGTTGACAAATTCTTTAACAAGCCCTGTGGTTACAGGGAAGCTGGTTTCAGTCTGAGTCACTCCTGTTCAAACAGTTTACTGGAAATGGAGGGGAGGGGGAATTTTCAGAGAAGTCATGTGATGGCCAGACAAACCACAACCAGTAAAGGTTCAGTGGAGGCAAAAACAGGTCCCAGCAACAACTGACATCCAGTGTGCAGATGGCACTCAGTCATCTGCAAACCAGTCCTGCTGCATCTCAGCGTTTCTATGGATTTAACCCTTTTCCAGAGGCAGGACACAGCTTGGAAAGTAAACAAACAGCAGTGGCTGATAGTAACATAGGCAACTAGAAAATATGTTTACATGGAAATTTGGCTGCAGTAAGGCTGCACAGAAGCAAAGCTCGATGTGTAAATCATTAGTTCTTAAAAATATGCCACTTAATGAAGCCAAACACTCAGAGTCATTAAGGATTAGATATGCAGCACAGATATCAGGACTTTCCCCTCTCAGCAAGGAGCACCAGGATCCTGCAGGGCCCACGCACTGTCACTGAGTACCTGGAGGGAAACTGGCACGGAAAGCTTCGTTTTCAGCAGAAACCTCCCTCAGCTTGAAGTGTTTCAGCA